TATTTTATTTTTAAATTTTTTTTTTTGCTTAATCTGGCAAAGGAACAGAATGTATCCAGTTATTTCATGTTATCCTCTAGAAAGAAAAGGGGGGGGGGTTAAGCCTGCTTCAAAAGAAGACATTCATGTATTTTGGAAGATGGAGTTTTAATCAGCAAATCATCATTTCCAAATGACCATCTCCAAATGACCCAGTCCTTCCAATGAAGTCACTAAACCAGTAGCACAGGCAGCCCTCTACCTATTCTGCCAGGACCATCTGCAGATTTGGCAAGAGGTGTTGCCAAATCTAACAAGCAAAGAGTGTTGGTCTGAGTGTTGGTTTACTTGAATAGATGTGATTGATTGATTGATTGATTGATTGATTGATTGCAGAGCCTTATTCTTCTCCAGGTCTTGGTGCTTCCATGACTGTGAGAACACCCTCAAAATCCCACAGGTGCATGGGTGAAATCCAGCAGGTTCTGACAGGTTCTGGATAACCGGTAGGGGAAATTTTGAGTAGTTCAGAGAACCGGCAAATATCACCTCTGGCTGGCCCCAGGGTGAGCTGGGAATGGAGATTTTGCAGTAATCTTCCCCTGCTACGCCCACCAGGTCACGCCCATCAAGCCACACCATGCCCACCAAGCCACGCCCACAGAACCAGTAGTAAAAAAAATGAACTTCATCACTGCACAGGTGCCTCCTAGTTTCTTTGCCCCTGTCCAAGGGGTCTGTGACCCAACACTGTTGAAATTTAGTACATCTGTTTAAGCAACGGGACTTACTGAATTTTATATTCAAGTATTTCATTTCACCTGACTGGCCATCTGTTTTTTCTCCTCTATATTTATATCCTTTGTTGTTGTTGCTGTTGCTTCTGCTGCTGTTGTTGTTCCTACTCTCCTTCCTATTCCTCTTCACTGTCTTTACCCTTTCTCTCTTTTTGTGTATGCATTCTCTTCTTGAAGATTCATTCATTCATGCTGCCTGGGAGAATGACTCTTCCCTACCCTTTTGTCATCCTGCCTGTCTCTTGAGGGACTTCTCAAAGCCCTCTTCTTTGCTAAAGCTCTACTTTACCTGCTGATCCAGATTTTCTCCCCCCCCCTCCCCACTTCTCACAATTCGGGCCATTCTTTAAGCCTGACCATAAACAATGATTCTTATTGTCATCTTCTAATAAGGACCCTGAATCCTCCTGGCAGGAGTCCTATATCGTTTATGTTATACTTTAAGTCTTGAGCATCTTAGCAGATGTTATTCTGAGTCCTCAAACTGCATACATTAGGACAGCTGTGAAGTGGTAATAATGAAACTTAAGTTACTTATGTGTTCCCACTTCTTCACTCACTAAAAACTTCAAAAGATAGAACAATCAATAAAAGGAATATACACGCAAATTTGATGTAAAATTAGGCCTATTATTATACACAGAACAAATCCATATCATATATACATTGTTTATCATGCAACAGGGTCTTATTAAGAAGAATACAGAAGAATAATAGAATTCACAGTTATGGCCATGCAACTGCATATATGCAAAAATCATTATACCAACCAGATGCAGTCTTATCTCATTAAGGTCACACTTCTAAACATGTATGTAGATGATTGGGGTAGCCTAAAGATATCTCTACATCCTCTTTCATTGACAATTGGATCTTCTTGAGCCTTCCTCCCATTCTGTGAATTTGCTACATTCCACTCCCTTTTTCCTGATCCATATCTCTACCTTCCCCAACTTTCCAATCAGCCCAATTCTATGCCTGTTTTTTTTGCTGCCATTCCCCAAACATCCCTTTTACATGATAGGTGCAAGAGGATTTTTTTGTTCTTTTCCAGACAATCGTGAGGGTATCACTAGTGTGAACAATGTTCATTTCCAACTATTCTGAATAGATTTTGAGTTGCTTCAAATTAAAGATGGCAAGTAGCTGCAGGACAGCCAATTTGTTGGCTAAACATTTCTTCTTTGTCTATTTGCTTATTAGGAGAGAAAGAAGGAGGGAGAAAAATCAGTTTGTTTATTTATTTTCTGCTTTTAGTATTTTCATAAATAACTTAAGGCAGTGAATACATATAACACTCCTCCTCCCCCTCCTATTTTGAATATTCTTGAACTGCAGAAATGAAGAAACCCTGGGCTATTGAGGAATGGATTTAAGTGTGGAAAAGTGCTCCATCCCTCACCTATTTAACCTAAGATTCAGGATGCTTCCCCATGCCTTGTGTTTCTGGCTCTGGCAGGTAGATCCCCAGATTCTTAGGAACATGTCAATCTTGCAAGTCTAAAGTTTGTAACCCCTTGGACAAACAATTTGGTTAATAATATTCTTTACCACTGGACTTCAGGTTGTTGTGATTTTTGAAAAACTAAAATATCCCATTTAATCCAACTCATCTCAATGTCAGTCAAATGAAATGCATTCTAAAAAGCTACTATTCTAAGAAATAATGGGGAATAGTAGATTTTGGATTGTTAAAAACACAGTAAAACTGGGGTTCCTAAAGATAGTTATCAATCAATCAATTATTACCTAACTTATTTACTGAGCTACAAATAGAAAGTAATTGCAAATAATATTTTCACCATGTATTTAAAATTACAATGCAATGTAATGTAATAAAATAGAGTATTAAATAATGTACATATTAGCCAACAACGACCAGTTAAAAAAAAGCAATTAGCTAACCCATTCCAATGGTAATAATGTATTACATTTGTGTACATGCATCAAAATACAGTAGTAGTAGTAGTAGTAGTAGTAGTAGTAGTAATAATAATAATAATAATAATAATAATAATAATAATAATAATAATAATAATAATAATAATATGCAATAATGTAACATTAACGTATTTACCGTCACAGCAGTAACATATATGTAACTATGGTCAAGATTAGTTTGACACTCACCTACAATAGTTTCAGTATTAAATGTAAGTAAAGCTCAGTTTCTAAAAGTTTTCAATATAGGATAGTTGAAAATAGTTTCGCTTTTGATATTGTCAAGGGTTCTCATTTAAAATAATGTCCCTGTGTGGCTTGTATGTAACAGAATATTTTGCTGGTTATACTATGAAGTCTCTTTTGACTTGAAAACCATAGTACTCAAAGGAATTGATATAGATATCCCGTTCATTTGATTTTTGGTTTGGTTGGGGCATCGCTTTTTCCACTGGGGGGACTTAGGCAGAGAATTGGTGTTGTCCAGCCACATGAGACAATCTAATAGCTCCACACAACTACATTGTCATCTCTACCTGTGAAAACTGTGTGGTCCTTTTTTGTCATTTTTTTTAGGGAAGCAGGAGGGCAAATGGATTACAACAGGATTATTGGATTGCAATTGGATTGTTTTTCTGTTCCTTAGTAGTGGAACCAGTGGTGAAATTCAATTTTTTTACCACCTGTTCTGTGGACGTGGCTTGGTGGGTGTGGCAGGGGAAGGATACTGCAAAATCTCCATTCCCACCCCACTCTGGGGCCAGTCAGAGATGGCATTTGCCGATTCTCCGAACTACTCAAAATTTCTGCTACCGGTTCTCCAGAACCTGTCAGAACCTGCTGGGTTTCACCCTTGAATGGAACCCAGAATGAGACCATTTCCCCACCTTCTAAGCCAGCTTTCTCCAGCCTGGTGCTCTCCAATTGACTTCCTGAGCATGGAGTCATCGAGGCTGGAAATTGTGAGAGGGATGGTTCCACGACTTCTGGAGAGCAGTCCGATAAACAAGGGCTTGTTTGCTGCTCAGTATCACATGCTACACCTCCTGGGTAAGATCAGTGAGCCTGAACTACTGAAACCTGCCAGCAGTGCTTATGACTGCCAGAGGCCCAGTTACTTCCCTCTACAAAGACCACCCTGCCTGGAAGTGGAGACCCACCTTTCAACCCTAAAAGGAAAAAGTGCAGCATTCATAGATTATTTAATTACCCAAATGTTGGGGACTTCCTCAGAGGTGGTTCACTCAGAGCACTGGTTTAAAAGCTCAGCAACCACATGCGAGTGATTATGGGTCACAATTCAACTGAATTTTTGAGAAATGGGTCCCAGCAACTACTGTCTGCTAAAACCTGGATCTGATGAAGAAAGATGAAAACTGCTTCATTTGAGAGAAGGTGCTGCAGAACCTTGGGTTTGGGTGGGTTGGGTGGGAATGGGACAACTTGCCACAGCCAACTTTGCTTTGGCCAACTCACCATGGCCAACTCACCATGAGCCAAGGCCAGCTCACTGCCTGCGGGACAATGTAACAGTACTATTTAATTATTTAAAATAAATTTAAAAATAGTTTAATTTTTGCCATTCACATTTTATTCTGTTCCTCCTTTTGCATCCTTTCTTAAAATATTCTCTTGTTGGCTGTGGCAAGTTGGTCATGGCGATTTGGCCCTGGAGAATTGCCATAGACCCAGGCTGGAAGACAGGAGATGCTAAAGCCCCAGCATTTAGGTGTGAAGAGAAGGATTCAAGCCCATTGCAGAAGAGCAGCAGCAGCAGGAGGAGGAGTGCTAGGTACTTAGCAGCAGCACCTTCCATTCCCCACTTCCCCCTCCCCCTTTGAGTGTTTTCCAAATACAGGAGGGGAAAAAATCCCAAATAGGTTCCATGAAAAGGATGAAGCAATGGGGAGAAATCCTGGCATCTCCAAGTGAGCCCCAGGGGACCAAAGCTGCGGATATCCTGCGAGGATTCACTTTGTGGGTAAGGAGAGGGGTGGAGGGGCTGCCGAGAGCGGCTGCGGTCCCCCCCCCCGAAATACCACCCAAGATGTTATTCAGAGCGAACAATCCCCATTATCTGTCCCCACTTTGGCCTAATCAGACAGAATCCGTAATACTGAAGGCCGCTTCCTGCTGGCTTTGGGGAGGGGTCTTTCTCTCTCTGTTTGGGAGGGTGAGGGTGAATCTCCGGAGGAGAGGACAGAGAAGTGGATGGGTGGGTGCGGGGGGCAGGGGGGGAGGAGGAGGGGGAGGTCGCCTTCCCTCCCATTAGAGCTTTTAGCACTTGACTAATTCTGGTACTTAGCAGCTCATAGACAGGGACGGTTGAAAGCAACCAGTGTTTACGGTGGGGAAGACTGTTGATATAAACAGGCGCCCCCGAGGTAAGCGACACTAATCTCCTGCCCGAGGGGAAGCCGGAATGAGCGTCTCTCCGAGCCTGGCCGTGGTCCAGTAGCCTCTGCCCCCGCCAGCCCGCCCGACGCGACCATGGCCACCTTAGCCAGGGGCAGCTTCACCGTGCGGAGCCTCTTGGATTTACCTGAGCAAGAAGGCGGCGGCGGCGGCGGCAGCGAGGGTCAAGAACCGGCAGAAAGCTACGCCGCCTCTCCCTTCCGAGCGTGGATGGAAACCGAAAGAAGCCACTATCTCTGTGAGTGAGGAATGGGAGATGGGGGGGCAATGGAAGGAAGGAAGAAAAGGAAAGGAAAGAAAAGGAAGGGAAGCGGAGGGAGGGAGGGAGGAAGGAAGGAAGGAAGGGAAGGGGAAGGGAGGGGGGATGAAGGAAGGAAGGAAGGAAGGGAAGGGAAGGGAAGGGAAGGGGAAGGGAGGGAGGGAGGGAGGGAGGGAGGGAGGAAGGAAGGAAGGAAGGAAAGAAGGAAGGAAGGGAAGAGAAGGAACATGAAACTGAAAGGTAGAGCCTAATCCAGAGTATCTGGAGGGCTCGAGGTTGAGGGAGTAGGTGAATAACCCGGAGAAAACTCGTCCCGACTGAAGAAAGATGTTCTATATAGAAAGCAAAATACGCCTTCTTTGAAATGTTTATACATCTGGAAAAAGAAAAAAAGAAAGAAAAAAGATCAAGATTATATAAACGTGAGAAGAGATAAGCCTATCATAGACAGTGCATATGCAAGATGCTTCCCTCATTTTTTGTTCGAACACAGACAACACAGACACACGCATGCAGGCGCGCACAAAACAGGCAGAAGGAAACAGGCACAAAGATTAGAAAGCAGTTTAAATGTTGACATTTTATATAGGAAAAATATTCTGAATAGGGTTTTTTAGTGGCGAGCCATTAAGAATGTGAAATTGAAGTCTGGTTTTGCCTGCTTTACCGGAGTCCAGAATGATGTAGAAACGTCGCATTAGGCAAGTTAATAGAGTCAAACATTAAATATTCCCTAACCCGCAGGTGCACAATGATAAAGGCCTTGTTGTCTACGGTTCGCTGACTGACACTTAAATTATCCATCTCTCTCTCAGGATCCTGGTTTATTAAATAACCAGAGATTTTGAAAATGCGTTTTATTTTATTACCTCTTTTTAAATCATATTCATCCAATTCTTTCATTTTATGGGGAAGGGGAGAGAACAAATAAATGCTAAAAAAGTCTTTTGTATTATTAGAGGATAAGCCATCATCATCATCAACCCTATTGAATCCAGTATAATTTTAGTTACTGCGAATAGATTCTGCTTGGATTTGTGAAAGCCATTAGATCCGCGGTTGTAGCTCCCACACTTCTACAAATTCTCTCCACACGGTTCAATTTTTCTTTTTAAATTGCAAAAATGTTTCAGACACTCTTTTAAAAAAAAATGTAATCATTACACTAGCTTTATTTATGTAGCTTTATTTTACCCCCCCCCCTTCTTTATGACATGTCCCTAAAATGCACTACAATGTTTGAATGTCCAGTGGTTATTTCTGTTACTAAAAATGATCAGGAGCTGGGATAAAATAAATTAATTAAAATAACAATTCTTGTTGGTTAAAAGTGGCAGCTAACCCTCTGCTTCCAAAGGTAGTTAAGTCCCTCGTAAGTTTTCTACGAACTTCTTTGCTGGACAATTCTTTCGTCGGGTTGCTTAAGGAACGGATTTTGCTCTCTTTCTAGCCCAGCTGGAGCGCAACTTCGCTTTAATTCAGTCCCATTTTTTTTAAAAAAATAAGATACTGCTCTGGATACCACGAGACTTTCTAAAACGATCGAAATAAAAGTTAGGACTTAAGTAAAAGTGGAGTTAGCTTTACTGACATAGGGGAGGGGGCTTCTATCCAAGACAACCGGTTCGGTTTCTTTTGCCCATCAATCCAGAACTCATTGAGGGGATGGGGTGTCCACGTAGATGGGCTCCACGTAGTTGGAAGAGGCTCTTGGCGCGGGTGCGGCTGTCGCTCCAGAAGGCGTCCTGCTTTTCGGGCCAGGCTCTTCTTGTCCTGTCTTGAGTCAACCGTGGCATTCAAGAATAGAGCAAGCAAGAATTCGCGGAGAGTTGAGGATCGCACCCACATTCATTTTATCTTTCACCTTAACCCCCCCCCCCCCGCAATCCAGTAGGAGCATCCAGGCAGGAGTTACGCTGAATAACTTATTTTATCTACTTAGAGTCTAGCAGTCCATCCTTTCGAAAAGATGGGATGTCTATATATACATTCTCATATATATATGAGGACCGCCTCTTGTTCCCTCTGGACAGTTGTTTTCTCTTGTTCCATACAATATCTTCGAATCCTTCTCAGTAAGCTCGAAGCGGGGGTGGGGTGCAGTTGCTAGGAATGAGGATGGGGGGGGGGGAATGCTATGTTTCTCTTTTCAGTCTCGAGGTAAAGATAAACCTATTGGTTCCTATCACACGCGGGAATCTCCTAACCCAAGCTCCTAATCCTTCTGTGGTTCGTGCGTACTCCTGGCGAACATAACTACACCCCCCCCTCCGCCCCGTGAGAGAAGTGAGGCTCTTTCACTCCACACTTTGACACATTTCCCCATTATTCTCTTTCTTGTTGGCAACTTGCTGTTGTTCAGTTTACGACGTCTGTGTTCAACTTAGTCTATGGAATAAACCCATTGGAAACTCAATAGGATTTAGTTTTGTGCATACAGATATAGGAAGCCATTGTGAAGTCTCTTCTGCTGTTTTAGTTTAGAAAATTGTCAGAAATGGAACTGAAATAGCCATAGCTCCTCCTTTTCCTTTGGACATCAGTTATTTAGGAATACCTGGGAAAGATTGAGGTCAAAAGAAGAAGGGGACTACAGAGATTGAGTTGACTGGATGGTGTCACAGAAGCAGTAGGTGCGAGCTTAAATGGACTCCAGAGGATGGGAGAGGACAGGAAGGCCTGGAAGAACGTTGTCCATGGGTTGGACTTCAGCAACTAACAACAACAACATATAAGAATGCAATAGTTTATTTACATGTTTATTTACACGATAGCTCTATCTAGCTCTGTATATGCACACATATTTATCTTTTCACACAGCTGTTGACTAACAAGATAATAAGGAACAACACTGGATAAAGAGAGCGTGTGACTTTGGGCCAGTCACCCTCTCTCCGCCTCCTCATCTCACAGGGATGGTGTTTTGGGGAAAATAGAGGCGGATTTTTTTTAAATAAAGCTGCTAAAGGTGGGATTTTTTTTAAAAAAAAATACTATTGCGACCTTCTACATTTTTATTTAGATTTAAATTCTGCTGAATGAAAACGTAAGCTCAATTAGGATTGAAATAATACTAGTCTATCCGGAGCTGCGTGGTCGCTTCCACTTTGTCCCAAGGCCCGAAATATCACAATTACCTGACTTTAGTGTAAGGTGTTAATAATCCCCAACAACGCGGGAAGACAACAAGTGCTGAGCCACATTTTAATTGGACTGACATTTGAATAAGAAAGAAGAAAAGAAACTAGGAAAAGGATAGGGGAAGGTGAAAGATAAAAGGGGCGCGGGGGGGGGGGAAACTAGTAACCCCTCAAAAAAAGTAGCGAATTTGAGAAACGTTCAGAGAAAACAATAAGTTTTCTCTTATAGGTTAATTCAAATGTTTCACAGGGTACGCACGCTATCTTGTAAATGCTGCCAATCTTTTTCTCTCTCCGTTCTCTCCCCTCTCCTCCCCTCTGCTTGCTGCCACCTTCAAAAGTCGGGGCAATTTTCTGATTTTAGGCTCTGGCTTCACACATCGCTCTAAAACCATACTATCTCTGTGTGTGGGAGGGTGTGTGGATTGTTTTAGCATGTTGGGAGAAACTCTTTTCCTTCTCTTCCTTGCCTTCCCTTCCTTTCCTTTCCTCCCTTTCTCTTCCTTCCTTTCCTTTCCCTTCCTCCCCTCCTCTTCCTTTCTCTTCCTTCCCCTTTTCTCCCCTCGACCTTTCTCTTCCCTTCCTCTCCTCCCCTTCTCTTCCTCCCCCTTTCCCTTTCTTCCCTCCCTCCCTTTTTCTTCCTCCTCTTCCTTTCTTTTCCTTCCCTTCATTTCCTCCCTTTCTGTTCCCTTCCCTTCCTTTCCTCCCCTTCCTTCCTTTCTCTTCCTCCCCTTCCTTTCTTTTCCTTCCCTTCTTTTCCTCCCCTCTCCTCCCCTTCTCTTCCTTCCCTCCCCCTTCCTTTCTCTTCCTCCCCTTCCTTTCCTCCCTTTCCTTTCCTCCCCCTTCCTCTCTTCTTCCCCTTCCTTTCCTCCCTTTCCTTCCTTTCTTTTCCTCCTCTCCCCTTCCTTTCTCTTCCCTTCGCTTCCCGCGGTTCTCAAAAGCAAACTATAGCCAACAACAGTCCGCTCTCCCCTGCAGCATCGGACGACAGCGGCGCCGAGAGCCGACCGCGCCCGGCCGCCGCCTCGACCCGGCAGGCAGCGCGGGAGGAAGACGAGGAGAAGCTGAAGAAGAAGCGGCGGGTGCTCTTCTCCAAGGCGCAGACGCTGGCTCTGGAGCGGCGCTTCCGGCAGCAGCGCTACCTGTCGGCGCCGGAGCGGGAGCAGCTGGCGCACTTGCTCCGCCTGACGCCCACCCAGGTCAAGATCTGGTTCCAGAACCACCGCTACAAGATGAAGCGCGCCAAGGGCGGCGAGCGGGGCGGCGCGGGGAGCGGCCCGCCTCTCATGCGGCGGGTGGTAGTTCCGGTGCTGGTGCGGGATGGCAAGGCCTGTCAAAGCTGCACCGGCGCCGCCCCCTCGCGAAGCCCCTGCGGGCCCCAAGCGGCCTTCAACCTGCCCGGCTACTCGCCATTTCCGCAAACCTCCTCCCTGGGCCTTTTCCCCGCCTACCAGCACTTAGCGCCGCCTTCCTTGGTATCCTGGAACTGGGGCTGAGGAGGAGCCGGAGGGCTGGTCGGCTGGCGGGCCACCTGCCTCCCTGGACAACTGGATCGGCTCCCTTCCTAGGAAGAGACCCTGGCCTTCGCCTAGCCCGACGGGGACTTTTGTTGGCGCGCTCGGGACTTGGACTCCAATAGAACTAGTTTAGAGTAAGGTTGGCGGGTTGCAGACCTTTCCTAACAATATATATATTGTTAGGATGAAATGGGAAATAAGAGGGTCATTTCAATAGGGCTGCCAATCCTGTGGCCTCCAGTGGTGTGTATAGCCTTCTTGCAAAAAGTGAGGCCCTCTATGTAAATGTACAGAACAGAGACAAAAAGGTTGCAATTCTGCAGCTTGCCCAGAAGTAAGTCTGATTGCTGTGTAGGGATCCTTGGCAATTACTTCCCAAGAAGGCTTGTGGAGATTTGCATTTTGGCCTTACAACTTTGAAATCATCCAGGTTAATTCCCGCATATATACGCACCACCTTTTCAGAACACAGTAAAGGCTTTCAAATTCAGAAGCATATTTTTACAGGACAAATGGGAGTTTGTCATCCAGGAACAATTGTCTTGGGTTCCTTAATAGAATAGAAGAAAGTGAAGTTAGGACGTAGAATGATTTGGGAATAAAATCAATGGAAGCCTAATTGGAAGCATCAAAAACAATGGGTGACTGCACAATACCTGCCAAACCTTCCTTTTGACCTTGTTTTAAGAATCTAGAAAAACCGACATAAGGAACCAGTTGTATTTCAATTGAAGTGCAGCAGATAAAGAGCAATCTGTGTTGGATGTAGTTTCAGTTTTTAAATAATTCTACTCATGGGGGTTGCTCAAAATTAATTTCTCTAGGTAACTATCAGTACCCTCTGGTGGAAGAGAGGAGATTTAAAAACATGTATTGGGATGATTGGTTCAAACTCCTTAGAAATGCTTTGTGGCATTTTGTTTAATACAATGAGGTCATACATTTACGTCTCAGAAGTAAACCTCGCTGGACTTAAAGGGCTTTTCTTTGAGTAGTTATGCACTGTAACAAATGTGTTCCTCAACAAATTGTATGGATTGAAGTCCAGTTGGCAAGTACGCATTACAAGGATGGTAATTGAATAACCAGAGTTTAAATGGTAAATAAAATGCCAAATGTACAACCTGCTGGGACACAAAAGTAAATAAATTTTAGACAAGATCTGTGGCACACAATTGAACAAATAAATAAAATAAAGACTTACTCTCATCCAGCTCACTTCCTGGAAACCACACACACACACACACACACACACACACACACCACACACACGGAAATCTGATGAAATCAACTATGGTCTTCAGAAATTTAATTTAAAGAAACTTAATTTTCAGTCATTTCCATACAGTACTAGTGATTGAAAGCATTCTCTCATTGGGGCTAGTTGAAGCCCATTTTTGTCAATCAGATCACATTACCATAATGGTTTGGCTGGTTTAGACACTGTAGTTTATTACTGCTACCTTTCCAAATTCCTCTTGCACATTAGATATGCAATTTTTCATGTGAATTACCTGGGATTCAGAATTCTGGGATTGATTCAATAATTTTTAGCTCAAATAAAGTTGGTGCAGATTCCAATACTTCTGTTCAGTTGGGGATAGTTTATAGTTGCTTGCAAATGTCTATTCAACCTTAGGGGGAAAAGGATTGAATATTGGAGGGCAGGCATTTGCGGGGAAGGATCTGCCCTTTTCTGCTTTCTTTATGGTCTCAACAGCTTTCCCCACATGGTGATCCTGGGGACCATCTGTGTAGCTTATCTGTTGTGTGAGAGCAGGGCAGGTTGCCATAATTTCCACAGAATATGACTTCTACCTTCCCATTCTCTCTCCTTGGTACTATGGAATAATGGCCATATTAATAAATGCAATTGCTATTGGGTTTACTATGTGGATGTATCCAGACAAGATGCTGTTTAAGATGACCATTCAGGGTGATGTTATTGAGAATGATAATAGTCTCAAAAATATTTCTGTAGAATTAATCTAATAAAAGGAGTAAGTCAGCCTTAGCATTGCAAATGTCGATAAATATTGCATTAATGTAAAGCAATCTCCTGGCCTGTGGTCCTTGGGAACCAACAGTTTGGAAAGACTAGAAAATGAGTACACAATCAAATGTATCCCATGGAAAATGACATTCTTGAAAGGGATTGTGCACCAGATGTATTGAGAATAAATAAGGATGACTGATGCTTTGTCAGAAACTTAGGATCATATCATCTACCACAATGTGAAAGGTAGTTTGGTCCTGGGAATCTCCAGTAATCAGACTTCCTTAAAAAGAAATTTGAGCTTGAAATTTATTTCTGAATTCCAATAAGACACCAGACATGTCTTTTCTTACTCTATAATAAAAGTTGCAATTTCATATTTTCTACTACTCCACTATGATTCAACTGAAGATGGAAAGTTTGAAGCATTTTATGATGTTCATTTTATGTAATTGCGATTATGATGATTATTACTTAAAATAACAGCATTTTTAAAAATCTAAGACATTAATATCCTGCTGTTTTGCTTTGAATATGTTGACCTTGGCCTTTGATAATGGTTTGAGGAGTCATACATTATTACCCATAACAATTTAATTGGGAAATATTCAGACACAACTGCAAATGATGATGACTTGCATTTCCTTCTGCCAGATCCCCTGTTTGAGGAGACTAGTTTGAGGGCCATCTAATGTAGAACATGCTTTTATTCTTTTTTCTTTCTGATGCTTATGCTATACAACTACACTAAGTCCTTGGCTTGCCACACACCCACACATCAGAAATTCAGAGCTCAAGGTAAGGAAAACTGTAGAAGCAGCCAAAACCTGACTCGACTCTCCTTTATAGATACAAAGGAAAATGTGTGTGTATGTACATGTGTTGTTCATCATCAAGTATTTCTGAGGTGGGGAAATTGATGGCTAATGGGCTTTTCAATGTTGCCGAAGTAAAAGTTTCCACCATCCCTGGACGTTGGGAGCTGGGACTTATAGTTTAGCAAACCCTAACACAATTCTCACTCCACTGTTTTTGAAGCATATCACTTGAAATAGGCCTGTCTTCAACAACCCATCTTGCTTTGGAGGTATAATTCAGACTGTTCTCCCCAATTTGGTACTCTCCAACTTTGTTGGGCAATATCACTCTCAAGATTCTCAGCTAGCAAGGAGACATTAGCTAGAGATGATGGAGGACACAGCATCCCCTGGGTGTTGACTCTACAGTACCAATCCTTGCAAGCTTTCCTCATGCCTATGCCATGTGGATTTTGCTGATATCTGTGGCTGCATCTTTTAAGTCTATCCTTGGGAAGACCTGTGATGGTTGTGTTGTTGGGCCCCATTGTGTGTTTCCGGAAGATCCTTGATGGAGAGCAGTTGGGAGAGCAGTTGGGATGGTGGACAGTCGTGTTGTCACCTGTTTTTCTTTTTTGTCTCCTTTCTCCTTTTTAATTTTTTTTTTCATATTATGGTCTCAGCTGCTGGCCACCTTGCTTTCCATATGGTTGGGGTTATCTCAGAAGAATCTCTAAGAGAATCCTCCTTAAACCTCCTTTTGTCTCAGAGGTTGAAAAGGACATTGTAGTGTCTGAAAAGGACCTAGACAAAATCTGCACTGTTTCAATTCAGGACTGTTTAATCAGCGCCTAGTGACAATTTTATGGGCTTCTGAGCGGCACAATGGTATCTTTTGAAAATCTTGTGGCCTTCGGGAAAACAAAGAGCTCGAATTTTATGGCCTTAAAGCTTAAATTAGAACCATACTAGTGGGCTGAGGAGATTATCAAATTTGTATCATAAAGTGCGCATGCATGCACTCACGCGTGCGTGCGTGCACACACACACACAGAGCGCTCCAACATACGATTTCAAGGATATGTATGTGTGTGTGATACAGAGCGATGTGAATTTCAGAAACAGACTGGAAGATAGACTGGGGATTCAATCTGATAAGCAGACAAGTGAGCTTGGTCATAGCCCAGGGGTGTTTCCCCCTCCCTCTTCAGGTCTCCTTGTTCAGTAAACAATCTGAATCTTATGAAAGACAAGAAATGATTTCGCATTCTGCCTAAAATAATGTCCTTTAAGGGAAGAAAAGATACTGATTTCTATGTGGAGGAAAGAAGGGAGATTTGCTTATATTGTGAGGAGAAATCAAAGGTGTTTCCATTTTGATTTAGTGCAATGTGTGAATGATGCCTTTGTAGATGTTATGGCTTCATATATTATATGTGGGCAAGGCTAAATGTGACAGCGAATAATTCATAGTTACGATGAAATATAGTTTAACATGATGCATGAACCTAAAGAGTAAATACAGATTGTATGTAGCAGGTGGGCTTCCCTTGTGCCTCTCCATACTCTGTTCTGGCCCCCAGCTACTATTTCCTTTTATAGAAGACACTGAAAGGAAGTCCCCCCTCCCCTTCATCCAGCTTGGATGACCCTCATAACGGGATGTTTCTGTTTCTCTGAGAGGGCGGGGAGATGCACTGGTGTCTGAGGTTGGTATGAGGAGCATTTGCTTAGATCTACAATTCTAAAGGGTAGGCATTCCCACATTCCCAGCTTTCAAGAGGGAGACATTTCTCTTAGCTTTTTAGTATTCCCACCTGAGACACACAATAGTCAAATCTTACACTGGGAAACTGGCAGCAGTGATGAAGAGGAACTAAACCATTAGTAACAAAGGCAGCGAGGAGAAAGTGAGTCCTTGCTGAAGGTTTCTTCTCCAAGGATCCTCCAAAAATTAGGACAGCAGTGCCATGGGCTGTGCTACTGTGGAAAGAAACCAAAGTATGGGTTTTCTTCACAGATAAATCCTCAAATGGTTTCAACAATTCTGAGAGAAAGTGCTAAAAACCAGATGCCGGCAAGGAAAATAAACCCCCCCCCCCCCCCCCCCC